GCTAGTGCACTTTTGACAGGTCCATTTGACGCAATTCAATCGTAATGAAAGACAAATGGGGCACTCAACTATAACGAGACCTGAGCTAAGTCCTTATTTTTGGGTGTAATAAGGCCGCTCTCGATGCGCACGCTTCACGTTTGTTTTGTATTTTATATAGAGAGTGAAGAACGGCAGCCATGACAGTACGAAGTCTAAGAGTATAAATCTCTAGTTCCAAATCAATTTGCACCGAGAAATGTATTCAAGAACTCATGAAAGATAGTGTACAAATCCTCTACGGTTTACAATGGCGCGATCAATCAGTGCTTTCCCTTTGTGCCTGAGGAAACTTTCCTGATAGGCTGAAATCTGTCACGTGGGACTGACTTCAGGGGGTATCCAGTTCGTTCCAATTTCCATCCTCGACGTGGCTTTATCCGCTCATGTCGTCTACTGACGTCACGGATGCATTAAGCTTAATATGTCAGCCAGTTGAATAGTGCAGGATAAAATGGAATGAATTTGGATACTGAACAATAGAAAATGAATGTAAAAAGCTCTAAGAATTAACCAACATCTTGTATATTGTTTAGTCTATTCATTGTTTTTCTTTGCTGAAAAGAAAATCGTTTTGAATAAAGTTTCCCAAGTCATTGCTATTCACAAAGGCAAAGGCTGTATTCAGACAAGGTGACAAAATCAGCAAATCTGATCACTTTCTTTATCCAGTAACGTCTTTAAAAAGTACATTATTAATTTGTTTTGTACCCTAATCGAAACGATTTTGCTGATGTATGAAGCGGAGGGTTTCAGCCCTGCTTGTCAGGGCCAATGTGGGCTGAGAAGAATACTACATGCCAGCAAAGAACAAACTGAGCATGAGATACTAAAAAACAAAAACAAAACAAAAACAAAAACCAAAAAAAAGCAAGCAAACAAACAAACAGCAACAACAACAACAAAAAAAAGCCTTGAACATCGGGACTCAGAAATCGGTGGAGACCCTCACCACTGACTGTTACACCACAGATGTGGGTATAATGGCTTAGATATTATACATTTATTCTTCTTCTTCTTCTTCTTCTTCTTCTTCTTCTTCTTCTTCTTCTATCCAGTGGTTGGGGCAACCGTGGGGGCACCACTGCATCTGATACCAGCTCTCGCCATTTCTCTTTGTTCTCTGCTTTCCTCTGATTGTCACCCATCGTCTTCCCTGTCCACTCTGTGATGTTGTCCTCCCATCTCCTTCTCTGCCTTCCTCTCTTTCTCTTTCCTTGCACGGTTTCTTGTAGGATTGTTTTGGCAAGTCCTGTAGATCTTGTGACGTGCCCATACCATTTTTGGGGGCTCTTCACTATGGTAAGTAGATCTTCATGCTGCCCCACTGTGTTTACAATTCTGTTCCATACCTCAGCATTTGAAATGCTGTCTTTGTATGAGATGTCAAGGAGTCTGCGATAACATCTCATTAATACATTTATACTATTATAGAACTCAAAACCTTAATACGTCTACAGAATCTAGCCACTTCCACATGATAAAGGCGGGTTTCCTTAGAATCTGTGAAATTAACTTCTCAACATGCCGCAGAGGCTCTGAGTATATAATCAAGATTTAACGTCTTACTTTTTTCCCCAACATCATTTCATGTCAAAGCATCCCTCCTGCCTTTGAATACCCAAGGCAAAAGCCGAAAATAGAGAAGCAAACAGCCTTCAGAGGGTTTTAAAGCAAAGCTCGTTAAAAGACAAGAGCTGTCACACACACACAAGCACACAAGCACACAAGCAAACGGCTGGAGGCGAAATTCTCTTTTTATTTAGCTCCCAGAAAACTCGGGTGGACTATTCGGATTGGGGCGAGACATTCAGTGAGAGGAAATCCGCTCACCGAGCCGGCTAGCTCCCCCCAAACCCTAACACTGACGATGTTAATGGCCAATTAAAACATCAAGCGGTTCCGGGGTGGAGGGGATAACAAATACGAGAGTGGTTTTCTTTCCGCCATTTTGTCCGACTCCAGGCGCGTCTGCAAGACATGTTTGTCCATGGGAGCGACGTGGCAACATAGTAGTATTATTATTGTTGTTATTTTTTTTATTTTTATTTTTTTTTTTGGTTTTCGCCTTCACTGTCGATGCTGAATTTTCTGTGTGAATCTGTTTTTTTCGTCAGTTGTCTTTGCTTTTATTGTTGTCGTCGTCGTTGTTATTGTTGTTGTTGTTGTTGTTGTTGTTGTTGTTGTTGTTGTTGTTGCTGTTGTTGTTGTTGTCGTGGTTGTTGTCGTGGTTGTTGTCTTTGGTGTTTTTGTTGTTGCTGCTGCTGTTGTCAAGGTTGATGTCATTGTTGCTGTTGCTGTTGATATTGCTGTTATTGTAGTTGTTGGTGGCGGTTTTGTTGTTGCTATTGCTGTTATTGTTGGTACTGTTATTGTTGTTTATAATCTGACACCTGGGATGTGTTTGCAGAAGTAATTACTATTGTTATTTTTTGCTGTCGACGTTGTTGATTTTGTTGTTGCTGGTGTTTATGTCGTTTTCATTGTTGTTATTGATAATGATGTTATTGTTCTTTGTAATCAAAAGACTATCCCGTCTTCATCTTTTATGTTCTGTCAAGTTTGAATAGTGTTGCAATATGATTCCCGAACGCGTTGTACTTTGATTATGTCTTGTTTGCCTAAACGTGCTCTTTTTAAATCTTCTTTCAGTGTTTCTGTTATAATCAGAATGTAAAATGTATCTGTAAATTTTGGCTTTGTCCCCTAAAATAACTTTTAAAAAACAACTAATACAGTCAGCAGCAACAATGTTATCCCTTTTCTACAAGCCAAGCTTCGGCATTCCTAATTTCATCTTGCCTTTAAAACGGAAACACAATCAGACACAAACACCCAATCCCCCCCACCCCACCCAACCCCACCACCATACACACATTC